AATGAAATTGTGATGCTTTAAAAGTATGATTAGGCGGAAAAACTTCTGTCTTGATTGGAAGCTTGAGTATAATTTTTGGTCTTTTTTTCTGTTCTTTGCAGGCTCGGTTAAACCTGGTACCAGCTACTCACTGTCACTGATCATGGACCTCAAAGCAGTAGCAGCGATGCCTCCCTGATAATTCAGGATGAAGCTGTTTTTTGTGTTTTGCACATTCACTATGAATTGTTTTTAAGTATAAGTGACATATCTACCGTATCTTTGCCTGAATCTTTGCTGGCTCTAATCAATCTAAATTATGTCAGAATCAGATCAGTTCAATCAATCTAAATTAATCTATCAATTTATAAATTAATCTACCAATTTATCAATCAATTCCATCTAATCAATCTAAATTAGGTCAGAATCAGAACAGTCAACGTGAGAGATATTGGAAGTTTTAAACTTACTTTTGTTGCTCAGGTTAATTTTAATTAGCTTTAAGTTTTTCACCTACGTTGTACTTTACTGTTAATGTCTAAACTTTATCAGACGTTTTAGACTCTTACCTCAATTTGAGTATGATACGTAGACTTCCTCTGCAAGTTCTGTCTTTGACATAATTTGTCCTTTATCTAAGGCGATTGAAAAATGTTTTTAAAAATGTTGATTGTATAAGTGTGATTTGGAGCTATTTTTCCAATTCATCTAGTCCTACATAAACCTTTTCCTTAGGCGAAGGACCTCAAAGCAGTAGCAGCGATGCCTCCCTGATAATTCAGGATGAAGCTGTTTTTTGTGTTTTGCACATTCACTATGAATTGCTTTTAAGTATAAGTGACATATCTACCATATCTTTGCCTGAATCTTTGCTGGCTCTAATCAATCTAAATTATGTCAGAATCAGATCAGTTCAATCAATCTAAATAAATCTACCAATTTATCAATCTATCAATTAATGAATCAATTCCATCTAATCAATCTAAATTAGGTCAGAATCAGAACAGTCAACGTGACAGATATCGGAAGATTTAAACTTACTTTTGTTGCTCAGGTTAATTTTAATTAGCTTTCAGTTTTTCCCCTACGGTATACTTTACTGTAAATGTCTAAACTTTATCAGACGTTTTAGACTCTTACCTCAATTTGAGTATGATACGTTGACTTCCTCTGCAAGTTCTGTCTTTGACATAATTTGTCCTTTATCTAAGGCGATTTAGATTGAAAAATGTTTTTAAAAATGTTGATTGTATAAGTGTGATTTGGAGCTATTTTTCCAATTCATCTAGTCCTACATAAACCTTTTCCTTAGGCGAAGGACCTCAAAGCAAAAGCAGCGATGCCTCCCTGATAATTCAGGATGAAGTTGTTGTTGCGTTTTGCACATTCACTATGAATTGCTTTTAATTATAAGTGACATATCTACCATATCTTTGCCTGAATCTTTGCTGCCTCTAATCAATCTAAATTAGGTCAGAATCAGATCAGTTCAATCAATCTAAATTAATCTATCAATTTATAAATTAATCTACCAATTTATCAATCTATCAATTAATCAATCAATTCCATCTAATCAATCTAAATTAGGTCAGAATCAGAACAGTCAACGTGAGAGATATTGGAAGTTTTAAACTTACTTTTGTTGCTCAGGTTAATTTTAATTAGCTTTAAGTTTTTCACCTACGGTGTACTTTACTGTTAATGTCTAAACTTTATCAGACGTTTTAGACTCTTACCTCAATTTGTGTATGATACGTAGACTTCCTTTGCAAGTTCTGTCCTTGACATAATTTGTAATTTATCTAAGGCGATCAAAAAATGTTGATTGTATAAGTATGATTTGGAGCTATTTTTCCAATTCATCTAGTCCTACATAAACCTACAAAACCCTACAAGTGACATATCTACCATATCTTTGCCTGAATCTTTGCTGGCCATAATCAATCTGAATTGTGTTAGAATCATAACAGTTAATGTGAGATACATTGGAAGTTTTAAACTTACTATTGTTGCTCAGGTTAATTTTAATTACATATAGTTTTCAGTTTTTCCCCTCTGCTGTACTTCACTGTAAATGTCTAAACTTTATCAGACGTTTTAGACTCTTACCTCAATTTGTGAATGAAACGTAGACTTCCTCTACATGTTCTGTCTTTGACATAATTTGTCCTTTATCTAAGGCGATCGAAGAATGTTTTTAAAATTGTTGATTGTACAAGTGTGATTTGGAGCTATTTTTCCAGTTCATCTAGTCCTACACAAACCTTTTCCTCAGGTGAAGGAATATTCATTTCTCTATCTTCTGATGAATTCGTGATTTCTTATTCTAGTGTTTTCTGGAAGATTTTATTGCTATGATCAGTTTTATTATCAGAGCTTCCACCTATGTTTGAAAAAGTAAATGATTCTAACATTCTACTCAAATTCTGCCTTTCTTCGCTGTCTGTTTATTTTTCCTTTGCTGCTGTATTGGTCATTTCAGGGCAGTGTTAATTACAGTCACTGACCATTTTAATTTGTCCTCTCCGTTACTTATATGTGGCGTAAAATATTTGAAGTGTTTCATGTTTAATTATCAAAATACATTCAAGTTCTTTTGGCTTCTTTTATTTTGACTGTTATTGCATTATTATCCTGAACCGATGAATAGCACCTAGCACTGACTTGGAAGTTAAAGCTGTGTATGAACATTCAAAGTCTATGCCTCATCATATACATTTTATAGAATTTTTTTTTTAATGTATTGTAACAATACGCGCAGAAGTTGCAAGCAGAGTATGATGAAGGAGCACCATTATTTGTGGCATGAAATAGGAGACTGGGAACTACAAAATTCTGCCATTCCTGGGATGGTGTGAATGTTAAAGTAAGGGGCTAGGAGGACAAGTTGCCCAGTGTAGTTCTTTGAATAAAATAGAGGATCAAGCATTTCAACAGGAACAGGTCTAATAATATATTTTGTGATAAATTCATTGTAAAATACAATTTGAAATTTCCTAAAATGAGATAGAACTTTCTTTCACCATAGGTTTCCATGTAATTTTTAAATTTTGACACTGTATGTCTTGATGTAGCAGAAACTCCACTTAAACTCCTTGTCCTGTAAGTCCCTTGATTCTTTTATCATGCTTCCATTTTTTAAATAATTCTTTCTACAAGTGGGCGCAAGATTAAGCATTACTTGCTCCCCTCTCGTACTAAGCTCATCATAACTTTCCATGGAGTCAAAGGTGAAGAATAGGGGGGAGAGAGGCTGTAATATTGTGTTGCCGAAAAACTCTTTTCTTAGGTATAACTTTTAGCCACTTGCGCAATTCCATTAAATTAAGTGTGTAGCTCAAATTTTTTTTGCTTAGTCAAAGCTCATTTTCACATTTGGCGACAATGCCACAATTTTTCCTCTGAAATTTTTAATGATGAAACGCTCGGTAATGGTATTACATTGATCATACGAAAAAGTTCCTTAAGCTTATGGGCATCAGTTTAGATCAAATAGGAAAGAAAACAAATTTTCCTGCATTGACTGACTACCGCAAGAACAATCCAAACCATTAAACCCATTCTTTGTTGTCCAAAGTTTTTGCTAAATATTGAATAGTAAAAGAAAATCTTAACAAACTTTTAAAATTGTAACTGAGAGTTAACGCACTTGCCACAAATGTTGTTGGGGAAGCACGAGACTTTCATTGAGCAGATTGATGACTTATACACCTGCTGAAAGTGTGCCACTGTAGAAGAAAAGTTCAGCCCTTCATGCGATATTATTATTGACAAACTACATTGTTTCATCAAATAATAATAGCGAATCAATGCTGAAAGAGATCCTGGTTGTTAACATTTGGTCCCGGGAGGAAAGCGAACGTACGAGTTGTTGACTTGAGTCTATAATGAAGATTGCTCTCAGGTACATTTATAGTTTGAGCTCGAAACAGTTCTATTAGCACATGAACTTGTAGGTCAGGTAAAACAAAATATGAGCAGATCTTTGATCACGATAGTGGCGGAGGTAAGATCTTACGCAAGGGGAAACAGCACTAGGAAACGAATCACCTGGAACCTATGATAATTAAGAGTGAGCATTATATTTAATCATAAGCTCAATTGCACAGTTTTTGGGATCGTGTAGGTGGAACTAAGAAGATTTTTACTGAGAAAAATGGTAGAACAAAAGACACAGTTTGGACACTTGCACTTGGTAACATATTCTGTCACTTGCGACCAGGAGAAAAATGTGAGAATTTTATGCGTATAATTATTGGAAACTGAAACAAGGTTAATTAACTGAATAATATCTCAAGATTAAACCAACATCATTGCTGTAAAAACTACAAAACTGACAATCGCGACGATGTTTAGTTGTTTACATGAAAATTAATTGTAGGTTATCCTTCAAGTAGATTTCAATAAGTACCAAGATGGCCGGCCTGGGAGGAAAAATGTTAACATTGGTTCTTACGGAGCTTTCGCTTCTGTTGACGTTAGTCTCATTATTCTATGGTATGATACCTTGCCCATAAAGGTGATCTAAAAGCGTCCTCCGAGTGTTATTTCTTTCCTTACCACCTTTAGCTTTTACCTTTAGCCTTTAGGTTATGGGCCCAGAGCAGTGCAGTTTTTATTCGTGATTTCATTAAGTGTCCAATTAACAATGAGTGGTGACCATAAAACTAAAAGAAATATTAAGCCGTTCGACGGTACCAAATACTCAATTTGGAAGTTGCGAGTGCGAGCGGTCTTGGCCGAGTTAAAAGTCTTATCCGCCGTAGACTCGGTAACCACGGTTACGACTCAGACCGCGNCGAAGAACAACTGGAAGGGAAAAGAAGTAAAAACAAAAAACAAAACAAAACTCTTCGACGTCATAGAACAATAGACGGTTGAGGCTGTTCATTCCATTGTGGCCATGTTGTTTACGTCATCAAAAAACCACATCGCGAGAAATCAATTGGTTAATTGGGGAAATGACGTAACCGGACGTTGACGAATCAAAACTATCAGTCTCCCTGTGTGAGAGTGTGTGAGTGTGTTTGCAAGCGATTGATAACAAGGACCTATTCCAAAACTAAAATGATTTCTTTTTTCCATCGCCCAGAACTTTCATTTTTCTTCTAGTTCACATTTAATTTTCTCTCTTAACTCTGGTTTAATTTTCTCCAATAATTTCAAAGTGTTTGGTTCTAAGAAGCTTAAAGGATCCAAGCCTCAATGCCATCTGTTTATCGTGAAACACTGAGAGGTACAAAATTAGTTACTTACTTTCATTTTTTAAATCAGCCCTCAGTTCATTAATTTTTGCTTATGTTCAATGCTTTCCTGCAAGTCTTGAGTTATTTCATGAAAGTACTCAACAGTAAGTAAAGTTTGAAAAGCTTTCATGTACATGGTTATAGTCCACAAAGATTACCGAGGAATGAGAGAGCCCGATCTTGTTTTCAAGGAAGTACTTCAGCTGGCGATCAGTACATATTTTGCATGAGGTTCCCAGGCTGCTAAACAAGACTGTAAGCAGCTCATTCAGGAAAGCAACTGCAGAATTTTTTTAAATATGTACTGAATCATCATTTGTGGAATTTACTATCTTTACTCACCCTTTGTCAACCGGGGGAAGCGAGTACTTTACATACTTAGTGAGTGGCACTTATTACTCAAAATTGTTTTTGTAAATTGATCAGAGCTTAATTGGTGGAATTATTTTGGAGATTTTGCTGGACAAGCAACTGCTAATCATGAATTAACGGTCACTGACTAAACACCTTTCTGTCGGATTTAGTAGTCAGATACGAATAGGCGATTTTGTTGGTCTATCCGGTGGATTCTGTGGTAGTCACTGACCATTTTCAATTGACTGTTGCTGTACCTGGAATTCTGCAGTAAATCCACTAAATAATGGTCAATTTTTACAAATGCTTGAAGTGGTTAAATACTAACATCTGTCCTGTGCATCTACATATTGATGCTAAAACTGCAAAATGCGTAGATATCTCGGTTGCAGTGTTTCAAAACCTCTGTTGATATTTTATCTTTTTGAAGGAAAGTGAATCAACATCATGGTTTGATGAAATAGATGATGAATTCTAATGGTCTCTAAAAATTGTTTTGTATGACTTGCATTGTGAATTTCTTAGGCTTTAGATGTTTTGAATCCCTCCTAGCTAACTTATTTTCATTTTCTGTTAAGTGCTAATCAAATTTGTTTCCCTTATTTTGCAGGTTTGAGGAAGAGTTCTGTTAACTGATGTCCATCATGATGAAAGGATCTTGAAGTGAAGGGTCTCATTTTCAACAAAAATGCATTCTCCCCAGTCTCCTGGTAATTATTATTTCAAGTACTTATTTTTTCTTGGTCATTAAATGGCTTTATTTTTACCATAGAGTACAATAGAGTCGCAATGTACTGGAGCGCCGATGAAGCCACTTTTGGAGGCTGTTTTGTCCAGTACTCCGGAGACTAGTGTGCGGCGACTAGCGATGACGCATGCGCTGAGACTCGCGCTCAGCGCTTCCCACTCCCGACTCGGCTCCGCTACAGCAGAACGTCTCTGTCAGGTCCACACACATTGAACCAGCTAAGTAGGCCGGTAATGAGTCTGAAATTGAGTCCATTTATGAATATTATCCAGGAGTAACATACATTAATGGATTCATTATGGCTTTGAATATCTATTTCAAGCAAAATTTGCACAGATTAATATCGATGGAATTAAAAAAATTTGAAAAAACACAAGCAGTCGTTGATTTCTCCATAAGCCACCATGATAATAAGTGCCGTTGGGTTCACACTTGGTTCACACTTTTCGGAGCACAAGCGGCTCGGAAAGGCCCGTTCATGGATTGACTTCATTGGCGCTCCAGTACATCGCGACTCTATTGTACTCTATGATTTTTACCAAGTGTTAGCTCTATAATTACATGTCGCATACCTGTTTTTCCAAGCTCGTTTTAGCGAGCCTTCACAACTGACAAAGGGGATTCGATCCTGAGACAATCAGCGAGCCTTCCTAGCTAGCTGAAGGAACTTGACCCTGAGACAATGAGCTGTGTGCTCATTACCAGACTCCTTTCCGGAGCTCTTTCCCTGTGGCTAAAATAAAGAAAAAGGAATGAAATATGAAAGTAGACAACATACTGGGCTCTAGGTAAAGAGTATTGAGGATGCAGCTAGGAAAGATGAAGTATGAAAATAAAGCAAAATTTCAGCGCATGCTACCGATTTTCAGCCCTAATTTTCTTACAATTAGTGCATGATTAATTCCAGTTTTTTAGCTCCTTAAAATTTTTGAAACACTGCAATTGAGATTAGTGATTTTACAGTTCAGCCATGCATTAGTTCTTTACATCTTATGTGTTTTTAACAGAGAGGAGCAAACCAACTGTACCTCCAAAGCCAGCTGCCCTGTCTCTATCAAATTCAAGTAATGTTCTCACAGGAGCCTCAAGGTAAATACCTATTTTGTCTGAGGTTTTTATTATCTTTGTTGTTGTTGTTATTAAACACTATTATCCAAATGGATTTGGTTGAAGAATTGTAGGAACCTGTTGTCTCCAAAAGCAGGACTGTAGAAACGTCTTGACCCCGCAAGCAGCTCGTCGCTCTTAGTGCCGTGCAAAAATATGATGACCAACTCATGTAAGTATAAAAATGGCGGGTTTTTTTTGGGTCAAATCATGACGGCCTTGGAATATAGGGAGTCCTTTATGAAGCAGGCATTTTAGGTATTGGAAATGTTAAAAATTGGTTCATAAATGAAAAATAAGTACCTATTTATAGTTTTGGTTATACTTTATGATATTTGGAGGAATGCTACGTTTGAATTGACACTTACGAAAAACGCTAATTCTGCAGTGAGTTGAAAGCGAAAATTTTCAATCTGTCCATAATAGAAATGAATATTTAAGGAGGAAATGTTTATTTTAGTGCTTAATTTCTCACCTGGCTTATTGTTAGTGACCTATTAGATCTAAGAGCTGGCTTTAATGCACATAAATGAATAAAAAAATTTTTGTTTCAGGAGTAGCAAGGTTGGCATCTCTCAAAATCACTGCTGTCAGACCTCATCCTTCTTGGCCAAGCTGAGTAACTGTGAGCCGTCAAAAAATGTCAATATCTCTCCGAAGCCACCAATATTGCCCAAGCCAGCTCATTTAAAAAACTTCAGAAGTCCTGTTCCTTGCAACTCAACTAGTCCAGAAATACCAAAAAAGCCTTTTCGTCTAAAGTCCAAAGGCAGTACAGAGTGTAGCATAAATGATGATGATGAAACTGTGATCTCCACAGATGTATGTGAAACATTAAAAATTCTGTCTATTGAAAAGTCTCTCCATGATATAGCTGAATCAATCAAGAAAGCCTCCAATGTAGAATCTATTGTAGAAACAGCTGCCAGTGATTCTTTTGACAAAGTTTACAAAATTTCTGATGAATTAGATTTCAATCAGTCGCCAATTGAACAAAATACCTTGAAACTCAGTATTTCGGAAACACTTACAAACAATACTTTCATCCAACAATCATCAATATCAAACGAAGACAGTAGCTTCATCAAACAAGCATCAATATTAAATGAAAATGAACTCAACTATGTGCATTCATCCATTAAAAGCATCACAAATGATGCAAATCTTGAAAAAAATGAAACTACAGTCACCTCTCATCGTGAAATTTTCCATTCCGAAACTTGGAGTACATTCTCAAAAAACATTAAAGTAGAAAGTGATGAATCAACAGAAAGAAATGAAGAAACATCGAACAGAGTAATAGAAAAGAGCAATATTCATTCTGATGAGCAAAATAAGGAAGCTTGTGCGGATGGAATTTATTGCATTTCTCCGCCATCAGATGCCCCTAACGATTTAAAATCCTTTCAAATTGTGTTGACGGATGTTGTAGAAAATCAAATTGAAGGATTATCAAGTGAATCAAATTTAAATTCAACTGTTGTCTCAGCTGAGCAAGATTTAGGAGAAGGATTGACTGAAACTGAAAATGCTGTGTGCTCTGTTATTTCGGGTCCAAATGGCAGAGGGAGCATCTCTGATCTTGAAGTGTCGAAGTACTCGAAAGGAAATCAGTCAGATGTTGAGTCTGTTGGAAGTGATACTAGTGGATCATATTCTGTAAGACGGCGGCTTACCATGTGGTTTGGCTCATTTGGTAAAGGGGTCAAAGATCGCAAGAAAAAACGTCAAAGTTTTACATTTTATAGCGATGATGGTAACGAAGATGGTGATTCATCTGCAAGTCAAATTGATGACTCTTTTGCGGATCGTAGCAATGATACATCTGTCAAAGCAAGTGATTCATCCAGCACCGGAGAAGTTTCTAAGCTCCCGACCATTGAAAAACTGAGTGCTGATTCAGGAGGAAACAGAAGTTCCATGTCAGATGAAAGCCTGGAAAACGTAGTCTTGAATGCATCCAGAGTCACTGAAAACAATCATGAGAAAGTTATAGAAGAAAATACAAAGGAGAAAAAGTGTAAGAAAGCATTTTTAGTAGCCAAGGAGCTTACAACATCAGAAAAAGTCTTCATCAATGCTTTGAGTCTAATTTGTCATGATTTTACAGCGTTCATAAACAAAGCCTCCCCAGACCCTTCAAATCCTGTTCTCCCACAACCTGATCTTCAGAAAGTCATTGGATCTCTACCGCAATTACTGCTTTTCAACCAAGTTCTTCTGCAAGACTTCGAAAATCGAATCAAAACATGGGAGAGTCAACCTAAAATTGCAGATGTTATAGTAAAAAAAGGTCCATTCTTAAAATTATATACTTCATATATCAAGGATTTCCAGTCTCAATGCGAATTTTTAGATGAGTGTTGTCAAAAGTATTCTCGGTTCGATAAAGCTCTGAGAGACTTTGAGTGCTCTGATATCTGTAAGAAGTTAACTCTGAAGCATTATATGTTGAAACCAGTTCAGCGGATTCCCCAGTACCGATTGCTTCTTGAAGATTATCTTTCTAATTTGGATCCTGAGTCGGAGGACTACCTAGATACTCAACAAGCTCTCCATGTCGTCTGCGATGTTGCGAATCATGCAAATAAAAGTATGAAGCAAGGGGTAAGTACTCCCTAGGTCACACACTTATCCTTTTTTAAACTCAAGGTTTGCATATCGATCAATGACCGTCTTAATCGAATATTTATTCTTACTGAAAGAATGTCTTGATCTGGAGAAATTTAAGGATCTAAGTAATACTGAATCCTATCACATTTTTCTGATCTAAATTTTCTTTTGCTCCAATGGTGTGCTCTTATCAATGTTACAATATTAATTTTGAGACTTATCAAAAAATAGTATAAAAAAGACCTTAAAAGGAAAAATTTGCTTCTACTAGCTCAAATATATATCCAAAAATTTAAGGTGCAATCTAGTGGCTGGGTGTTTTGTAGCAAGGTTGCTGGTTAACCTATTGTTGTCTAGCAAATTTGAAAGTAATTGACGTACACTGATTTTACTAATTTATACTAATGAATCATCTTTATATGTAGTCACAATTTTATGGACCTTTCTTTTGAAATTTTGTTTGAAACTGTTTTGAATCTTTTTCACTGACTGACTAAACGATGCTAAAAAATGGAAATGTAGATAGAGATGGAAGAATGAGCTCTATTCACTGCCCTCATACTTGCGTGAAATATTGTGCATTTTCATTTTTCATAGGTAATTAACTTGTGACCTGGTAGCTGATTAGTAAGTATCGGGGGTCTTTAAAATTGTAATATTTTTGAAACTCCAAAATTCTTATCTTTTCATGTCTAATGTGTAATTTACCTATATGTACTTTTGCTTTTAGGATCACTTGAGTAAGTTGCTTCAAATTCAAGCTCAGCTTGGCAATTACGAAATAGTGAAACCAGGAAGAGAATTCGTCAAAGAGGGAGACCTGTATAAACTGTCTCGAAAAAGTCTGCAACTTCGATTTTTAATACTGGTATGTTTCAGATTTCAGCACCTTTTTCTGTGTTTCGAATAATTTTTATCACTAATTTTTTTCCATCACTGTGGAAAATTGTTCTGATTTTCCTAAATATGCAATTTAGAGCGCTCTAGAAGCCCTGGAAATCGTCAAGGAGACTGTTGATTATTTATCTTGATCATAATTTTTTTTTATAGATTCAGATTTATATTCCTTCATCTTAGAGAAAACATTTCTCTTTAGTTACTCAATTGAGCATTTTTGGCACCCCAGGTGGAATTAAATGTGCATCAAAAAAATAAAAAGTTGAACATTTTATCACTCCAGGGTGGCAAAAACCAAACGATTGAGTAAAAGCCTTCAAACAATGCCGAGGAACAGTTTCATCCAAACAGGATGAACCTGTCACAACTTTGCCTCTGGGCAGACATGCTCAAAATAGCTCCTAGTGGAGCCCTTGGCGATGAAAGCCAGCAGTATGACCAGCCGTCAAATAGCATCATAATTTCGGTTTTTTTTAGATGATCCTTGTATACAAAGGATTCGAAAGATTGACATCCTGAAAATTGGTCAACAGCCAGAGAAAGGGAATGTTTGTAGACTTTAAATGTATGATTAATACGAGGGGCGTTCAATAAGTAAGTATTCCCCCCTCTCTAAAATCCATTGAAATGGACCAATTTTAAAAAACTTGGGTTCAAAATCTTCCTTAGGATATTTTGAGTTCAACGAAACAAACCGCAACAAAATCGGACCATGTGCGGCCGAACGCGAGCCGTTTGAACGCGCCGAGATGCTCGACGCTCCCGCCGAATCCGCGAGGATTTGAAGTCCGCTACAGGAGAAGAGCTTCTCTGCCAAAGCCTTAGTCGTTCATCACTGACGAAAAATCAAAGAAATTTTTGTAGAATAAGAGGCTTACCTCACTTCTCCACATAACCAGCTCGATCCAAGCAAGTCTGATACTGAGACTAAGACCAAGAGAACAGCTTTTGGATGCCTCGTGCGTGGAAGTCTTTCAGCTGACCGCGGATTAAAGAGTGGACGGCTTGTTTGACCTCTTCCACTGATTCAAAATTAACTCCTCCGAGTTCAGATTTCAGATACGATAATAAATAGCAAACCAGACCACCATTTATTCCCGTTCCTGAAATCTGAACTTGGAGGAGTGAATTTTGAGTCAGTGGAAGAGGTCAAACAAGCCGTCCACTCTTTCATCCGCGGTCAGCTGAAAGACTTCCACGCACGAGGCATCCAAAAGCTGTTCTCTTGGTTTTAGTCTCAGTATCAGACTTGCTTGGATCGAGCTGGTTATGTGGAGAAGTGAGGTAAGCCCCTTATTCTACAAAAATTTCTTTGATTTTTCATCAGTGATGAACGACTAAGACTTTGGCAGAGAGGCTCTTCTCCTGTAGCGGACTTTAAATCCTCGCGGATTCGGCGGGAGCGTCGAGCACCTCGGCGCGTTCAAACGGCTCGCGTTCGGCCGCACATGGTCCGATTTTGTTGCGGTTTGTTTCGTTGAACTCAAAATATCCTAAGGAAGATTTTGAGCCCAAGTTTTTTAAAATTTGTCCATTCTTATGGATTTTAGAGAGGGGGGATACTTACTTATTGAACGCCCCTCGTAGGATTCTTATCCTCAAATGTCTGATTTAAAAAAAACACAGGGACATACTTTAACAAATTCTGGAAAAAATATTTTTGACAAATTTTCATTGACTTTGTAAAAAACAACATTTTCGGAGCAGTCATTTGTGGGGAACTTCCCAATTTGACTTGTATCCTACCTCGGTATCTAAAACTGATGAGAGAAAACCTTAGACCGTTGCCTACGAGAATCTTAGACTTACGAGGAATTTTGCTGTAACTTGGCAACGGTAGAAAACGTCCGGGTTCCACCGCTAGGAGGTGTAACTAGAAGCTATGAAGAGTTGTTTGGCCAAATTACAACTTCGTAGCACGTTTTCTTTCGTTTTGGCGAGACTCAGCTTTAGGGATTGCCTGGCGGATTCGTCTTCTTTGAAGATGGGTCAATTTCACTATCAACACTTGGCGCTCTTTGTCTATCTTGATAAAGTCTCGGCTTCTTGCCAATCTTTTGAAATGTTGCTGATAAAGGACAAACTTCACCAAATACTCAAGTATCAACGTGGTTTTCAAGCTTTAAATGTGTTGCTGTATCGCCTGAAATATCTTTCTGGCTCCAAGCCGCCGTCTACGGCTAGAAACGATGAAAATATTGAAAAAAAAATCTCGCTTTCGCAAGTGAGAATCGCTGGATACTATTTAGTTAACCGACAGATATCACTGGGTTGTCATACAGAAATATTCAAAATATTCCTGTGTTGTTGCCATTGATCCCCCATTCAACACTGTAGCCGTTATTAACGGCCGCTTGGAGCCCGGCCGATGCTTGAGCAATAAATCACACTTAAAAACGGGAAAGGACATTTGCCCACGTAATTTATTGCTGAAGCAGGTTCTAGGCCAGATTTAGTCAAAGGATTCACAGAGTTAGCCGCGAGTTGCCCTTGAAAATCACCTACCTTCAAAAACGACGAGCTCGCTGGACACCCCTCACGCGAGGGGTTGCCAAAACGAAACAAAATGTGCTGCGACGTTGCAAATTTGGCCAAACAACTCTTTATATATACTAGTTACACGTTCTAGCGTTAGAGCTCCGAAAATTTCCACCGTTACCAAGTTACATTGAAATTCCGGGTTTCTTCTGGGTCCCTCCTCATGTAATACAATTTAGACCGCGCATTAAGATTTTTTTGAAGAAACGATAGGTAGACGACCAGGATTGCAAGTAGTGCTGAGAGAAATTATCAGAGGCAAAAAACGACTAAGTCGCATTCCACGACGCGCTGCTCGCCGACAGCAGCGCGAGTAGCAGCAATCAGGTGAGACTATACTATCAACAAATAGTACAATTGAAATGCGCTAAAGGGAGTTATTACAGCTGCAACAGCAACACAAACAACGTGATTGGATTAAAGTCCCCTGCCTTTCGGTCAAAAATTTCTTTCTTAGTACAATGGTACCAAAAAATTTTTTGTATTGATTTTTTTAAATTATTTTTTTGCCCATATTTTGCGTTTCCCGATAGTAATGTTGAAAGGAGGAGAATTTTTAAATTAATATTACCTAATGAAATTTACTTGGCATCTATTTTATGGCGTATCACTGCACTTCGGGCAACGAATGTTCATATTTTTAGCTTGGCGGCTCATCTTTACGTGATGGGGTTTTTGGTGATGTTTTTGGTGGGCTAAACAATACAACAAGACTCTTAGGACGATGACTCGAGGGCCGAATTTTGTTGAGTCATACATCGTTTCTTACACGTACTAAAAAAATCCACAACCACACTATGGTCGGTCCTGGCGTCCCTAGTTGGCTGGTGGTGCGGTCAGGACTCATCGACGAATGTTACATTTCCGCGTTCAAATGCCGACAACGTTCGGGCCTAGATCTTCAAAAATCTAAAACAACCGTTGTGAAAAGAGCAGTCCAGCTAGAGTCAAAACATTGAATATTTAGTTGATTACTCTCTAGAAAACAAAAATAAAGATTCAATGAACGAAAAATTTGGAAAATTCAAACAGCATAAGACCACCGAAGATGATCATTAGAAGCAGAAACAAAAGTACAGAATACATTAATGAATTTCTAAGATGAAAACTGGAATAAAATACAGACAATGGCAATTTACACCCATTGTATATATACAATACACAGACACAGGTCTAAAAGTAATTGACAGAAATAGGAGGTTAAGTGATGATCATTGAAAGTATAATAATTAAATAAAATTCCGTTCTCATTTGCTTTAAATACAACTGTAAACGAAAGTTATACAAAGTGAATTGATTAACTTGTGAAAATGAAACATTATCAACAGAATTTGGGGGAGATCATCATGATCATGGAACGAATAGTCCAGTAATCAAAGGCATACAGGGCGTGTTTCTGGCCATTCTGCTGGATTTAGGCCTAATCGATTCTTCATGTAGACAGATGTTTTGGCCAAATGTCCCCATAAATCCCCTAAGGGCATTCCGCACAATGGTCTGATAAAGTTGAAAATTGGACATATTATCAAAAAGTCACTGCGGCGTAAGAAATTAACCTAGAGACTCATTTTTTTTTTGGAAAATGAAGGTAATTGAGTCTACTTTTTGAAGAAGTTATGAGTTTGAATGTCAAAGTAAGTTAAATCCGAGTAAATTTGAAGGGAATTAAAAATTGAGAGATTTTACTATGTAGTATTCTTCAATAGGGGCCTTTAAATGGACGTAAATACAGAAAATGACGGTCAAATATTCTCAATTTTCAATTTCTTCCAACTTAACTCGGATTTAACTTACTTTGACTTTCAAACTCATAGCTTATTCAAAAAGTAGACTTGATTACCTACAATTACCAAACAGATGAATTAGTCCAGTCATTCTAGCTTTTTACCTCGGACAAATGAGCACAAACTTTTCCTTTGGTATATAATAGGGTCTCTAGGTACCCAATAAGACAGAAAAAAAGTTTAACAAAAAATTCCACCGGGAAGGTGGTCAAATCGCAGTTTTTCAAAATGGCAGCTTACGGCGATTTTCAAAGAGGAAGTACGTACGGATTTCCTTTATAACTCAAAAATAATGCGTCAAACAAAGAAATTGCAAGAGATCAGATTGAAAGATCATAAAATTTTGATTAAGAATCACATACAAAACTTGGATTTATATAATTTTTTTCCTTCCGAATTTTACTATTTAAAAACAACAACCGGCAAAATCTGCTGAAAATTCACGATTTTTCGCGTTCTTGACCAATTTTAGGTCAAAATAATTAATTCAAGGTTAAAAACAACGAAACCACTAAAAAGTACACTAAATTTTGCATAAGTATGCCCCTCCATTTTACCTTTTCATCTTTTATGACCTCATTGTGAGACGAATCATTCAAAAGCATGAAGTCAATATTCAACAACCAATTCAGCGGTTTTTTCCCGTTCCCAGCGCTTTTGATCAATTATTTTTCAACAAAAGTATAACTTATACATACTTTTTAGAAATGTGATATTTGCAAGACGAATAACACACTGGTTTTTCTTTAAGTTTTACAGCATGTGCCGTATTTAAGGAAATTACGCTAAAAATTGATTTCTCTAAAAATTTCAGAATTTCAACGATTTTCGGCTTTTTGACGGCTGGAAACTGAAAATATAATTCAATGATGGTAATAAACGTTTAGAACATAAAATTTCCAAAAAATCGCATACCTGAAATCACTGTTTCGAATTTTTTAAAGAGAGTTAGAAAAGGCGTTAAAGTTGTCTAATGGAAAACCTGGCTGCTCGGTTTAGAGCCACTTTCTTAACATATACCCAAAATTTTCAAGTTTAGTCATTTTTGTTTGAAGTAAATTTTACGGTACTAATGTGATAGCAAATGAAAGTTAAAAAAATGTTAATGAATGAATTTTTGAAGGTATTTAAGTGTACTTAGAAGTCAATTTTTGAGACGTTCAAAATTTACAAATTGTTCAATAACAAGGCTCTGTCTCAGGTTTTTGTGGTTTTTCATGGCTGCAAACAATTTTTTCCATCAATCCATGGTAATCATCGAAAAGCTAGTAAAATTTTGTGTAAGAAATGTGCTTCTATTTGTATTTTTGGCGTCTCTCGTAGAAATGCGGAGGCAATGTTGAAAAAATTACAATTTGCCCGAAAAAAATTTTCCCGCGGTTTTTGTTATTTTTTACGTGTTAAAAGACGTTTAAAAAAAAAAACAAGGTGCGTCATGAAATTTCCTATAATGAAGGGCTATTGAAGTTTGCCGTAAAACCTTTTTGAGGAGTCTTAGCACTGAATTTTGGTTTAAAAAAAGTTTAAAAAAAAATGATGAAAGAACCCCCCAGAGAGCATGGGGTCAGCGGCTCTCGATGAAACTTTAATAGATTGATATAAAGTTCATAATTAAGGGAAACCCAAAAAATTAGCTCATTTTTGCGAGTTCTATCATGCCGCAGCATGGCGAAAGAATTCCGAGTCCTTTCTCCTCTCGTTGTTCGGCGTTCTCGATCAGACCTCACGTAAAGATAGGTGCTTATGCGCTGGGCCGGTGCGAATGCCGTACTTCCTCCCTCTCCCCGCATCTGTCAATTCTGTTTCAGCAACTACATTTCAGATTAAACCGGTCGGCGGCGCCGGCACGGGAGAGGTGCGAGAAGCAGGGAACTCCATATCGCACAGCCCGAATGGAGCGTCCTACCTAATGAAAGGAGTGAGTGTAAACAAAGCGACATCGTAGTTACCTGGTGGGCGGAGAGAGGGTTTCCTGGCCGAAGTGCTCAAGCAAGGTAAGGCGACACCGAGAATTTACCTCCGCCGCACAGAAAATAGTCCGGGTTCAATCGCGAATACCTGGGCTTCTACTCGCAAAAGTGAGCTAACTTTTTGGCTTTAACTTAATTATGAACTTTATATCAATCTATTAAAGTTTCATCGACTTTCATCAAGAGCCGCTGACCCCATGCTCTGTGCGGGGTTCTTTAACTCCTTAGTTATTTTTGAGATTTTATCGCTTTAAGATGAGCTTTAAAGTTAAAATGAATGACGTAACTAAAAAGTACGTTAAATTTTGGTCTAGAAAAGTGTGTTCAACATCCTTTAAAGTAATTATATTTGCTGGTAGGATAATTTTTTCTGGGATCAAAAATGACACTTATCTGAAAAAAGTCCGTTTTTAAGCTCCATTTTCCTAATTTTTAAGCATTTTAAAAGTGTTGGATCAAAAAACCACTGTAACCACGTGAAAGTACATAAAATTTACAATAAGATAGGGTACCTTGTTTTAGAAATTTCGATAATTTTTGAGTTTGACACTGCTTTATTTAAAATTGTAAAAAATGGCAATATTTACAGAAAGTTGAGTTTCTATGCAAAACACCATCCGTCAAAAGGACATATCAATACAGCAAATATTCCATCAATCGTGTGAAGTTATTTAAATCATTTCTGGAGAGCAAAAATTAATCAACATAATATAAAATAAATAATAGGAGGGGAAACTGACCCACCTCCTTCTCCCTGCTTTCTACAAAGAGCGCAAATGGATATATGACCGCAGTCGGGAACTAACAGATACTTCACGCATACAAAGTGAAGACAATTTTCATCGTATTTATACATACACTCACGTAAAAATAAACGAATAGAACAGAGCTTGTCGAAATCTGTACATTTAAGGGTTTTTAAAAATATTGCGGAATGGGACATCTCAAATATGAGGGAAGTTACGATGCGAGCACAGCTGCCGCCGCGAAGCGCTTTACGTGGGGGATTGGGCTGTGTAAAGGCGGCAGCTCGGGGAGCGGGTCTTTTTGCGTCGGAGGAATGAATGGTAAAACTAATAATTATTATGATAAATTAACTGGGGTCATGTGGGCACATCAATGACAGGGTATTGACTACTTATTCCAGAAGACTTTTAGATTTTGAAAATTGGATAATATTAACGCCAACAGTGTCTATTGAAATTTGCCCAAAAAATGCCCTGTAACTCCAAAAGAAGGGAGTTCAGGGGAGAAAAGCATGGATCAAAAAGTTCTAATTCTGGGTCATAGAATTTAAATCTGAGGTCAAAACATACCCTTCCCAATTGAAATATACATACCTTTCCCATTTGAAATATGCGAGAAACGGAGGGCAACCCCCTGAACCCCCCTCCCCCGTCCAATAGGTTTTGGGGGGGCTGAAAATATTTTCACTGAATTCTTCCGGGTTGATTGATCTCTGAAAGTTTTCGTCCCGAAGCTCAATTTTCAGCCATTTTCGAGAAAAAGATAGTTGACGGCTGCTCTGGAGCACCCGATATAGCTAATACAAATGAAATGTTAGAGGAGAATGAGAATGCTAATGCCAAGGATCTTCCAGAGAAGAATCCTGATGAGAGGGAAAGCAAAAGGTATTCGAATACCTACGTGCATACTGCAAAAACCTGTAGTTATAATCAATGACAAGGGTCAGTTTTCATGTTGAGTTGTTGTAGTGATAATTTTTTTTGAGGGTCATGTAGGTCATATTTGTAAATTGAGGCGGGGAGATGAAATGCCGTAATATCGTATCATGGCATCGCAAATTGATGAACACATGTTACAGAATGGTTCTGTCGCAATGGACGTCTCAGCCCACTATGGGCACTGGTCATCTTACCATGTTTGGTATACGTTTTCTAAACTCTTAGCCATCCTTCAAGAAACTACACACTCATATAAATGAGATATTGAACAAGTAAAGGCTCCTAATCACTCATTACTGAAAAATGAAAATCGACTTTTAAGTAAGTGCAAATATTAGGGTTAACGTGTACAGTAAATTGTGACACTGCGAGTAACTTGTCTAGATCAAAATCTTTGGGCAGCAACTTACATTAGAAATGCTGAGTGTCCTGAGAAAAGTCACAAAATTTGTATGTGAGAATTGGTACCTGCAGATTACGCTGGAAGTATTAGAAATGTAACTTAACAATTATAACAAAATAGAAACCGAAATACTGATCGCCCTAGCTGTTAGAAATAGCATGTTGTGCGTAAGAATTTAGAAAAAAAAATTAGTCTGGACTATGGTTCCTTAAACGTTAAGATCTACTTAAGTCATAAGAATTACACTGGTTAAGGAAGTCTTTATGTAAAGAGAAGGACTAAGAATACGACCCCTAAATACACAAAGGATGTAAGTAGAGGGACGGTTGAAGATAGAAAGGACTGAGAGTATTTAAAGCTGTTCCATACAGATTAAAGTTCCACTTTAGGCGGAATTTTAAGTTTCAAGAATTCTGTTTTCAAATCAATTTTCATCTGACACTTTCCTAACAATATTTTTTGACAGCTCAACTTCATAACAATCTACAAATGAAATTTTGCCCCTTTAATTTATCTTTAATAGATGGCAATGTTTAAACATGAAAAATCCAAATTTCACCAGTCTTTATAAAAAAGGATGTATTGAGTAATAAATAAATAAATTCAATTTTAAGAACATTATCAAAACTAAGATTACGCTATCCTACAATATTTGGTAAAATAAAATCAGAGATATAAAAGTGAAAAAATAAACATACACACGTGGATACAAATCAAGGAACACTTTTCTGGAGAAAAATAAATTATTGACAAAGAACACTTGAAATAGATATTGATTACGTGTAAAACAAAAAGGGAGAGCCAAAGTATATTTTACACAATGAGATGCTGAGGCAGTCAACGTGAGTAAAAAATTTATAAAACTTGTTCGGCATGCTGATACACTGGCTTATATTTCCATTATAGATCTTGCATAATTAGAGAATTGTATCTTGCATTGACATCAGAACTGACTTCACCAGTTTTGTAGAGGTCAGCTTTATTGATCATTACATGTGAAATGGCAGTGATTATCTTTCACTATACGGTAGAATCTTAATTAAGAGGCCAAACATGCTGAACCGCTGGGTTGGTTAATGGAAAACCTGCATGCTCGAGACAGTCACAATTGAATCCCTCAGTTCGAAAATGGCTTAACTCAGGTTTTTTACGTTATTCATTTCCTTGAGTAGAAACACTTCTACTCTGGCTGTTAAGCAGTTGTTTTTGTTTCCTGAAAAATTTCATTTTTCTGAGATGGGGCATTTTCCAACTGAGAGGATCAATTCCTGTACTCAGAAATTCCCAATCTGGTTCAGGTTGTTTTTCCCACCAAAAGTCTAAACGAAACTTGGTCCATTGAAAACGTTTCCTGTGCCAATTTAACGTTCATACATGAGGTAGGACGTTCGCTTACTGTGGGCTAGCCCATACATACCCAGGTAAGAGGGTGGAAATCGCAGCTTTACACCAACAATTTTTGTGAAAAGACTGTAGAAAAAATAGTTATTGTTAGGATGACATTTCAACATGCTCATATAATAAACATATATTTTCATTTTTTATTTATCTAGAGCTTATGTCACTTAAATTACGAAATCGAGAGATAAAAGAGAATTGGACAACAGACCTTTTGTAGAACGTAAATCCAGATGACATTTGATGGACGTGGGACTAGTTCTTGTACCTGTTTACAGCTCTTATGGCACAGCATAAAATAAGTGAGAAAATTATTCCAACGAATTCAACAATACCCACTCCAAGAATTATCCCAATGATGATAAACATGTGTTGCCGGGCAACAGAAAGCATTTTATCCATGCATCCCTAGAAAGAAATAAAATCAATGTACTGAATGTTATTGGGAAAAAATATGAGCATCAGATCTTTAAAGCAGATCTCCAGACTCAAGTTTTGCCTTTTACAGCACTTACTATATTAAGATATTGTCCGCCGAAAATCATGAGGAATGTCATCATCTATCGCGTTGCTGCGCACCATACGCACTTCACTATACTCACTTTAGTCACATCAGTAAATGGTAAGTGTAATCTTCACTGATAGCTCTCCATGCACCACAAAAAAGACGAATATGTGACATAACATTACATGCACTCCTAGGATGAATGACATCATTTTTTGAATACTTCAAACAGCAAATATCAATGCCTTCAACACTTTAGGACATTTCACGTAAAACCTTCAAAGAATGGTTACATGTACTTTGAGAGGTCAACAGGTAATTCAATGGGTAAGTTGCATTTTTTTTCTTCGGTTCATTTTCTAATTTTATCCATCATCCTGAGCACCATTTTTCCTAGAATTTTTTAACCCCCCCCCCCAAACACCCCAAAAAAGCTCCTCAAATTTCAAAAAAATTTGGTGGGAAAATCTAATATTAAGTGAGGACAGAGTTTGGCCGTTGTGTGGTGTCACAACTTTGATGACAGGTTCTTTCACTTTACAAATACGTAAGTTTCCCCATAAGGAAATAGAGGAAAATTTTCAAACGGAGTGCTCGGACGGTTTTGGGGCGTATCCACCAAATTTTCTTGCAATTGTAAGCTCTTCATACTCTCTGGTTGATAAGACTATACCTAGAAACTTAAAAATGTATGATAATTTCCAGTACATATGGAAGCATGTCACGAAAAAGAGGTAATGTTTACAATATCCTTGTAGAGAAATTCAGATGCAGCAAAATGTAGGCGGGCAGATGAGATTCCTTCGTTTGAATTTTTGACTATATTTAGCTTTTCAGCTTTAATGCTGTATTTTAAGTAATTTTAACCACACCATCAGTTATCTTGTGAAATGTTACATCAGAATGACTCAACAGCCTCTTTATCCCTCTTGGGTGCAAAGTCCCCATTGTTAAAGAATATGCCCTATGCAATGCAAATTGTGTCAGCATTTCATGTCTGATGACGAGATCTGCAACTAAAAAACTCCAAGGAGTTGATACCCGACTATTTTGATATTGCTCTTCTATCTGTAGTAGGAGGTTTTTATTGTGAAAAGCTTACACTGGTCTATGAAAAAAACAAAATTGAAAAATCTGGGATATGATGGATTCTTTAGTAGGTAATTTTTAATATGGATTCCGAATAAGATCAAAGTTTTTTCCTTTTACCCACCAATTTTCTAAAAATATGAGATGTTCTTCAAAAGACGGGCTTTTTCAGGGAAAACTCAATTTGCCAGGGAACCGGTGTATGGTAGAGAACATGTACCCATGTCTGAAGAAGATTCCTCGTTGTCTGATAACGAGGTTTTTCCAATCAAATACCATGATCTGCTCATACCTCCTCGTAAAACTGTTCTACTCGTTTTGCCTCTGAAAGGCAGGGGAATGGGTCTGTTGCACGCAAGCGATACAGCCAACTGAATGCATTTTAAGGAGTAAAGTCACTGGGAAATCACGTTGGACACATAAAAAAAGTCTAAAATCTACTCCTGAACGCGCAAGCTGCATGCTTTGTAACATGGTTCTACAAATTTACTGCTTGTGCAGGCAGTTCGATTTAAATCATACTTTGAAAAAAGTTAGTGAAATTGTTGGTTTGTTCAGGTTAGTTTGTTTAACTCTTCTGCCAACCTGGTTGGCGGTGACAAAGGAAAACTGCCCACAGACGCGGGAAACTTGAGAAAGCAAGGTACAAACGACGCAGATTGCGCGCTGAGGAGTAGGTTTCAGACTATTTTGACGTGCCCAACGTGATATCCGAGCAAATTTACCCCGAGAAAACATATTCGATTGGTTATGTCTCTTGCGGGCGACAGACCCATCATTTAATGAGGCTATTTGCTCTTACTTTCCACTGCTGGGGCCAAAAATGGCCTTAGTTTAGCATTAAAGCGGGAGACATGAAAGCGTAATTCCATTATTAGATTAAAGAAAAACTTGAAAGAACTGGGATACCTTGAACTAAAATAAAAGTTTTCTCTCCCTTTGATGCTCACATTTCTATTTTTTTCCCCCACTTACACACTAACTTAACCACGTCAACTACATAATTTCATAATAATAATCATAATAAATATCAATCATCTCAAATCCTTAAACCTCAGAACCTCAATCATTAGAAAATTAATGGATCGTCTGGAGGCAGTGGTCATGAGACAGTGAAAGGTAGGCCAGGGTGGGAAACCAGAATACGGAAAGCTATTAAAGACTTCCGAGAAGAAATCCGCATTTTAACTGAGTGTTTAAGAGCACAACCTAGCAAAAAAGTCACAAAGATGGGAAAAAGAATTCTGGTAAAGCTCAAGAACGAAGATAATCCCACCAAAACCGATGTGTTAGATCTTCTAAAGCAAAGTTACAGGTGCAAGCATCGAAGTTAAAGAGATATCAAAAAAGTAACTCACGCCGGGAACAAAATAGCTTATTCAAGAAGAGTCAGGGTGCAATTTACAGGAGTCTCCAACCAAAAGATGTAGACGGGAACCCTCTTCAAGATAAAACGCCAAGTATGGAAATAATCACAGACTTTTGGCAAGGTGTCTGGAGCAAGCCATAACAACAACGTGGAGTGGTTGGAGCAAGTGAGATCTTCAGTGAAAATCAAGGAAGAAATGACTGAACAAAGCATCAGCGAAGCTGATATTGAGAGGGCCTTGAAAAAGATGCTGAATTGGAAAGCCTCAGGGCCTGACAAGCTGCAAAATTTCTGGTTAAAATCTTTCAAGGCAGCTCATTCGCAGCTTGCCCGTTGCTTTGAGAAGATTCTTCGGTCCCCTGAAGAACTGCCATCGTTCTTAACCACAGGTGTCACATTTCTCATACCAAAAACTAGGCTTTAATCAGATGATCCTGTAAAGTATCGGCCAATCACGAGCCTTCTCACAATGTACAAGCTCCTAACGTCCATGATCTCTGAGAAAATCTATAAACATCTTGAACGAAATGATTTGCTCAACGAAGAGCAAAAAGGTTGCCGTAAGGGCTCAAGGGGGTGCAAGGAGCAGTTGAAAATCGATGTAGTCATTGCCAAATCTGTCATCAATAGGAAGGTCCCCCTTTTCTCTGCCTACATTGACTATCAAAAGGCATTTGACAGCGTCCCTCACTCCTGGTAGCTAGAGATCCTTGAAATTTATGGAATCAGTCAAAGGTTCATACAATTCCTGGCACAGGCCAGGGGCGGTGGGAAAACAGAGCTCGTCATAAATACACCCAGCCGACAGCTCAGAATAGGAACGATTAATATATATCGCAGCATCTTCCAAGGTGACTCTTTGAGTCCGCTTTGGTTCTGCCTAGCCTTGGGTCTGTTGAAGAGGGTGCTCAATAGTCTTCAAGTGGGATATAATTTTGGCAGAGACTCCAGTACATCACATTTGTGGTACACGGATGACCTGAAACTGTTCGCTAGTCGAAAAGAAGACCTGCACTTGATGCTTGATACGGTAGGATCTTTTAACAGGGGCATCCACATGACATTTGAATTGAACAAAGGCAAAATAAGCAGTATTATCAAGGGAGTATGGGCAGCTCATGAGGGGTACGAGCCTGCAGAGAATGAGGGTAAAATTGAAGGCATGCTCGAAGATGACCAGTATAAGTACCTGGGATACATGCAATCTCGAGGAATCCAGCATAAAGACTCGAAGCGTCAGGTCTCTGATGATTACAAGGTCTGTGGAAGTTGAACAAGGTGATAATAGTGCCTATTGTTATTGGAGCCACGGGAGAAGTTCCTAAAAAAACTGTTTGATAGCCTGCGAAAGCTCAGTCTTAGGAAGGAGCTGTATCAACAACTGCAAAAGGCAGCATTGTTAGAAAGCTGCAGAATTGTCCACCGACTTTCACCGCTAAAATGACTAAATCTTATAGCCATTTTAAACCAAAGATTTTTAACATATAACTTTTAACATTTTAATATTTTCATTTTAGTATTGTTGAAATTTGTAAGTTTATAGCTTTGAAACGAGTTTATGAAGTAAAGCCACTTTTAACCATTTTAAATCAAATATTTTAACGTTTAACTTTTTACATTTGAATAAATTTATTTTAGGATTGTTAAGATTTGTGAATTTTTAGCCTCAAACTAATATTTTAATTTCTTCTTTAAATTTTAAGCTTTGAAACAATTTTTGAAATTTTTAGCTTTCTTAATGAGTTGGTTGTAGGGAGACTTAAGTTTGACTCTCCTCTGCGTTGAAACGCCGGGAGGAGTCGAGAGAGCAGGCCTTGGGCTGTATATGTTAAAGACGCAATAAAAATAATAATGGTAAAAAAAAAAATAATGAAAAGAAAAAATGATTAACATTGTATTGTTGTAAGGACCACAAAACTTCTCTTCAAAATGGGTCAGTTAGGATGGTCACAAAATCGTGTTTTGATGCTCGATTCTTGGAGATTAGCAAAAAATAATAAGATCTGTCCAAAAAGCAACTTCCTATGCTCCATAATGATGAAGATATCGTGCTTTGAAAAGTCAGGTTTTTGATGTCATCCACCGCTTCAGTGACACCCTTGGTATTTCCCTCCTTCGTTCAATCAGTGATGCAGAGGGCGGAGTGCACTTCAACGACATTAAACATAAACAAACTGAGGTGAACTGACTGTCCGCCTTACCTCTATGCGTCGAGAGCATTATCTCCTGATGAGAAGATCTTTGAAGCGCGAATCCGTCTGTTTCTAGTGTTTAGTGTTGTTGAAGGTTCGCGTTCCGCCCTCTGCATCACTGATCGAACAAAGGAGGAAGAAATTAAGGGTGTCACTGACGCAGTGGATGACGTCAAAAACCGGACTTTCCAAAGCGCGATATCTCTGTTAATATTGAACGTAGGAAGTTGCTGTTTGGACAGATCTTGTAATATGTAGCTAATCTACAAGAATCAAGCATCAAAACACGATTCTGTTACCAGCACTATTGACCCATAAGCAGTTAGATGTTAATAGTTAGTTGAAATTAATAGCTTACTTCTTTGAATATACTCGGAGCATATCCAGACACAACGACACTATTTCTGGCAGCCTCACACATTTCTACACTTAATTCAGGACTGCAGCATGATGCAGGAATCGAGAAAAGCACATCTTTTGAACCAATTTCCAAGTTTATTCCTTCCGTGCCGTTTGAATGACGGTATTTACTGTTAGCCCAATCTGTCGGTCCATTGGCACCACAGCACCGCAACTGAAGAACATAATAAACTAATCATTAAAAAAACGGAAATGAAATTACCATACTGCATCAACTAGGTACAGATACATGGTATAAAATAAAAAAAATGGAGACAAAATGATAACTCCTCATGCATTATGTTTGTAGCAAAGAATGGATCACTATACAATGAACGAATTTTGACTTGCACATACATTTTTCTGAAGGTAAATGATAAGTGGAACACGATGCGCACATTAAAAACGGGAAAAAGTAACTCAGAAATTGAGAAATACATAGTTCAAAAGGCGCAACTTTTCCGCCAATTTAAGACTCCCCGGTTCCGCGCGCCGAACCGAATGATGTCATCTGGCACCCGTCAGAGGTGAGCACAGGTTTCTAAGATTTTTGTCAAAAGTCTTCCTACTCATCGTATGTGAAAACAATTGGAAAGTCGAAACTATGACTTTAGAATCAAAGAATCGAAACTCATTCTTGTTATCTGCAGGTAACAAGGAACAGGTTCACATTGAAATACGTTATATTTTAACAAGCATCAATGGAAAATGAGAAAAAATAGCGACTTGACTGCTGTAGTTAATCACTTCCATTATTTCCTGCCATTTCAGCGCATTTCAAATTTCTTCAAGTCCTTGAACTTCTTTGCGGGCTTGTCCGGGATTTTTGCTACAAAAGTACGCAATAAATCACCACATAATCTACTTACTACATACTTTTAAAATATTAGATAAAAACCACAAGGTTTGGTGACCCATTGTTCTTGTTGAGGCATATGGTACCAATGCAGGATGGGTTGGAGATAAAAAAAATAAAATAAAATAAAAAATTAAAGATTCACAGTAATATTTCCAATATTACCTGATTGGCTATTGTTCCATTTCAATCCCCCATCGCGATGACTTCAAACCTACTCTGTTTCCTTGTTCAGTTTTCCAAATAGTGATCCTCCACTCTAACAGTGGCATCATCATTGACTCTGTAAACTCTCAACAACGTGACCCCATGCCCTCACTAGGGTGTTTCTGATATTTTAAATTTACGAATTCAAAGGAGATGCTGGTCTTAAAAGTTGATGTGTGGATAGATTAGAGGCCTCGTGCAAGGAAAAAAATTAAAAACAATTTTTATCCAGTGCTCAAACGACTCAAGTGACACAGGTTGAAATTTGAGGTTTTTAGGTAAAATAACACTGTTTCCCCGTGGAAAACGCCGAGTTACGGCTCTAAAGTCCGAAAATATCGTCAATTTGGTCGTAGTGGCAATACAAAAGCCGCAAAACACCGTGCCAATCAGGTAATATTGGTAATATTACTGTGAACCCTTAGTTTTCTTATTTTGTTTTTTATCTCCAACCCATCCTGCATTGGTCCCATGTGCCTCAACAAAAACAATGGGTCACTAAACCTTGTGGTTTTTATCTGATATCTTGAAAGTGCGTAGTGAGTAGATAATATGGTGATTTATTGCTTACATTTGTAGCCAAAATTCTAGACAAGCCCGCGTTTAAACAGTCCAAAGACTTGAAGAAATTTCAAATGTGCCGAAATGGCTTTTAATTTATTTCCTTGCAAGAAGCCTCTTATCTATCCACACATCAACTTTTAAGACCATCTTTCGAATTCGAAAATTTAAAAAATAAGAACAACCTTAGCCCTCGTTCTGTTATGTTCATTCTGATCTTGTGAGTGTTGATAGCCTCTGAGTTATTAATGTTTCTTCACGATTTTTTGCAGATCGAAATTATTGTGCACAGTCATCTGTTTGGGACGCTGATATTTCGATAGTCCATTGAAGAATTACTCCCTCTAGGGTTTTCTAATCTATGGTCATTTTTCTTTGTTAAAATTATTAAAACCCTGTCAATTCTATGGATCCCTTTACCCGATACTACTTCTGTAAACTTCTTGGAAAAGACATATACCTTTCAAGCTCTACAAAAAAGGTCCACTTCCGTAAATTTTTCGACCTCTCCCTTGAATCTAATTAGTAGTGAGGCTCATGTTTTCGATTTTTTTAACATTAAATTTTTTTGTATCAGGAAGTCAACCTGGTGACTCAGCCCCCGACCCTGAAGACCAGCGTTAATCAGCGACCAGAGTGCTTTCTTTAGACTGATTTCTTTTACTCCAGCGAAGAACCCTGTCCGCCCTGACTTTTTGGTTTGCTGGTGACAAATTACCAAACTATAATATCTAATGGCCATTCCACTACCGGCTACCCTCGAAACACGCCTTTTAGAGAGATGGCAGACTCCTCAAAGAAAAGATCCAGGATGTCTTAAAAGAAAATGGCTAAACTAGATAATTAGAACAGATGCTAAGTCACTTTTGGAGAAATAACAGATACTTACATCTCGCTGGATGATATCAAAAGTTTTTGTGTGCCGGGGGTTCAATCCATATTCATTTTGAACAGTTGATTCAATGCTTTTGCGGACAAGTTTTTCCAGCTGTTCACTGTTGCAATATGCCCACCAGCCAGCAGATATTTGAGCCACCACAATTACAATCAGCAGACAAACAAACTGAAATAAAATAGTTGCGTTTGATTCCAGACCAATATTGCATGCCAAACAAGGCATTTTTCCTATTGACTTATGGCAAATGAAGTGACTTATATAGAGTGCTAGGCATGACCTAAATCGTCAAGTATTTCCGATTCATCAGCATGTCTCACGAAATTTGGTCTTAATGATTAATTAAGTTGGGAGAGGTTTCCTTGAACTTTAAAATCTATGGGCTCCTGTGCCAAACAACCCACGCTCGACACAGCACCTTAAGAACAAACCAATCAGTGCATTTTTAGGCGGCTGGTGCTTTTTAGGGGTGCTTTATTTCTTTCTATCAATGTTGACATGCCGCCTGTCACAGGTACAGAATTACCTGCAACTTGTTCCTTTCTTAAACTAAAGTTCCGAGGAGTTATGCCGACATGACATAATGCCGTGCGTAAATAATGATAGAATCAGTAAATTACAGATTGTAAAATATAAATACTCATTCCTTTCCATGGTCTTTTTTCTAATTCCTCTTCTCATTCTTACAAACGACTACGGTGTATGATTAAAAATGACTATTCTGCTTACTGAATGTATAAAATGTTGTTCTCCAAATTACATTAGTTTAGAGCAAAAGCACAAAGAAAAACATATTACACATCGTCACTAAAGCTCAACTCTCGATTATTAAACGTTCTTATGGCTAGTGGCTTGAAAAAGTCTTGGGTAGTACCTGCTAATTTTCCTGAAAATAACTCGGCAGATTTTAAATTCATAGTTTTCAGTGAAAAATAATCTCCTTAAATTCTTGAATTTTGAACTGAACTTGATATAAGCGATCGAATAAAGAGAATTGGTAGCTTAGCTAATTTGGAGGTATGAAACCGACAAGCTCATGATAGAATTATCAATTTCATAAGAAGATGGAAAAATCAGCATCTACCAGTCTAAATAAAAAATATGTGTCAAATAGCTAACTGTTCGTAAATAGTGGTAATCAAACTGACCGCCAGAGTAGCTCTACTACCTTGGAACTAAGATATGTAGCAGTACTTTAGAGTCAAACTTTCATTGAGCCACTAAGATACAGACGAAATGGAAGGGACATGAATTATTTAAATCCAAGAAAAACAATACCTATTTCCTTATTACTTTTTATCGGCCTCCTGCTGTCGAATCTTTTAAGTTATTCTGATCTAGTCTAAGAGCCAGCTGCACTTTTGGCGCCACTACTCCGGCACGCTTGGAACTTTGCAGGGACATAGTTCTGGCCTTTCTAGTAACGGATTGGGCAATATCAGACCTCAAAAGTGGTGCATCTGGCCGCTGCGCCCCCCGAAAAACGGAAAAAGCGTGCAATGAAATCGCACGGAAGAGCCACTTTTCGGCTCCTGGAAAGTGTTTTGACGTTGTTCACTAACCGTTATATTGTACGCAGGTAAGGTTTGGGTACATGTCAACTTAATTTTAGCCCGGCAGACGAATTCTAATCCATGCAGCTGATCTGCAGACCCCGAAAATGGCTCTTTCTTGTGATGAAATCGAACAAAAAAGTCCTCTTTTGGCTCTTGAAAAGTGCATTGACGTTGCTTCCTAGCCTTTATATCGTACACACGTATAGTTTGGATACATATCAACTTAGTTTTAGCCCGGTAGACGAATTCAAGTTCATCTGGTGGATCGGCAGACGTCGAAATTGACTCCGCAAACAATAAAAATTTAAGATTGCCGTGCGACCTCTCCAGGGTGCATAGACTCCACGCACTCACCCCCCTCAAAGACAGGTGCATTGGATTTGGACTCCGATTTGGGTCGTGGAGCCCACGCACCAAATTAGAGAGAGACAGAAAAAAAGTGGTGCGTAGGCCGTGGGGCCCTCGCTCCTAGTAGTTCGCAGGGGAAATTTTCAGATCATTCGATCAGATTTTCTCGATGGGATACCAGAGAAAAAAAAAGGAAACAGAAAAAAACCGTCTCTTCCTTCCCTCGTTTGCTCCTAGCGGGCACTAGGTACACTGCACACTGTAATAAAATTGCAACCTATAATCAAAACGGTAACGTTGCATGGTGTCGATGATCACCATGTCAACAATCAGAAAAATATCTGCCTTATAAGTAAGATTAAAAAATTAACCCTCGATTACATGAATTAATTTTGGATCACAGATTTGGAAATATAAATTTTTTTCTGAAAGATCTTCATATAATCTCTGAACGTACTTCGCAGTTTTTTAATTGAAAGAGTGTTCCATTATCTTTGATGTCAAAAAATAAGGCTTAGATTACATTGAGAGGCTAACTGAAACATTATTACTTCATCCACCTGAACCGCAAACTGATAGAGGTGTAAGTACATGACATAAAGCAAATACAAACCCCGAACCGCTTTTATTTTCGCCTAGTACAAGGAAACAAGGACATCAGTCTTTCAGCCCAAGATGGCTAATAAATTATAGGATTTCGTTTTTTGAGAGCCAGTAATTTTTTGGAGAGCTCCATGGAAAAGAGTAATTTTTAGTTCTAAGGGGTAGTTTTAGGAAGCAAAAATTTACCATTATGCCTAAAATCGGTGTTATCAGTGTTTAAGCTCGTGTACTTTAAACAACCATATAAAAGAAACTTAGACAGTATAACTATCAAGGGAACTTTTTTCGAATAATGTAACGGAATTTTATGCCGGTAATTCAAATTTGCCTATTTTAGCTCTAAAATACATTATATCAACTTTGTTTTCCAGCAGCTGAACAGAATTGTTTTATTTTTATGGCTTAAATGATTCTATACACACTCTGCTTCAAGAATCTGAGGAGTTTCTGCTTTTGACTCATCAAAAAATTTAAACTCGTTCAGGCAAGCCGTGCAGAGATAGGTAAATTGGGTTATTTTTCTTGTAATGTGCTCAAATAAGTGTATTACTCCCAAAGCCGTAGAAACATATTAAAGGGGGAAAAACTTGCGAAAAGACGGGAAAACGCGTAGCTGCGCGTAACTCTCGCAACTTCAGGCTCCTAGGGGTGCGTTAAAAAATTTGTTTTCCCCAATTGTATTTTTTCGCGATATTTTCTCTTTAAACAGAACCAATTGAGGGTTCCGCACTTTAAATTTCCGAAAACTCAAAATTATAGACCAACCTAATATCGACTGTAATGCGTAAAATTGCTGAAATGCGCGATTATACAGGGTGGCCCAGACCTACCGTACCAGGCCTTTTTTTCGGTTAATTTGGGTCGCACGAAGTCCAGGATTGCGGGGATAAATGGGGAAACGACCCCAAGGAATCCGAATTTCATGGTCCCAGAGCCCCCCTGGCGTCCCTTGGGGGGTAAAAGGGGGGTCCGTACTTCAAAAGTCAAGGTTAATGTCAAAATTTTGAAATTATTTCATCGGAATCAGAACGGACGGAAATTTTTAACCTGAATCGGCACCCAGAAATCCAAAATTGGCCCATCCAGGTCCAAAATACCGACCCCTAAAGGTGGGGGACAGAGCCCCCTTTCAAAAAAAATCAAGTTCGTTAAATTGACGTGGAGACTCGGAAAAAATGTGTATTAATGGGTAATCGACCCCAAGGAATCCAAATTTGAGGGTCCCATTGTCCTCAGACACTTTTCTGATGGGGCACAGGGGTAACCTCCACACCGGTTAAATTTAAAAGTTCAGAGACCCCCTGTGCCCCATCAGAAAAGTGTCTGAGGACAATGGGACCCTCAAATTTGGATTCCTTGGGGTCGATTACCCATGAATACACATTTTTTCCGAGTCTCCACGTCAATTTAACGAACTTGATTTTTCTTAAAGGTAGCTCTGTCCCCCACCTTTAGGGGTCGGTATTTTGGACCTGGATGGGCCGATTTTGGATTTCTTGGTGTCGATTCAAGTTAAAAATTTCCGTACGTTCTGATTCCGATGAAATAATTTCAAAATTTTGACATTAACCCTGACTTTTGAAGTGCGGACCCCCCTTTCAACCCCCAAGGGACGCCAGGGGGGCTCAGGGACCATGAAATTCGGATTTCTTGGGGTCGTTTCCCTATTCATCCCCGCGATCCTGGACTTCGTGCGACCCAAATTAACCGAAAAAAAGGCCTGGCGTGGTAGGTCTGGGCCACCCTGTATGACTATGAAATGCGGCCATTGATTAACTTTCCATCCTACAAAAATGAGGCTTCACTGTTATCATTCTCCTTTTTTGCGTCCTTTGCGATGCACATTATTCTGCAGTTGCCGGAAAGGTTCCGAAGTTGAATGTTTTGCGGCAACGTAATGAAAGGCGTATTCGTTTACCCTGCGCGCTAGGCCCAACTCACCACATTTTTTCTGTCTCTCTCTAATTTGATGCGTGGGCTCCACTACCTGTGGATCCGATGCACCTGTTTTTGAGGGGGTGAGTGCGTGAAGTCCATGCACCATGGAGAGGTCGCACAGTAATCTTAAATTTTTACTGCTTGCAGAGCCAATTTCGAGGTCTGCCGATGAACTTAAATTCGTCTGCCGGGCTAAAACTAAGTTCACATGTATCCAAACTATACGTGTGTGCGATATAAAGGCTAGGAAGCAACGTCAATGCATTTTTCAGGAGCCAAAAGAGAACTTTTTTGTTCGTTTTCATCACAAGAAAGAGCCATTTTCGGGGTCTGCGGATCAGCCACATGGACTAGAATTCGTCTGCCGGGCTAAAATTAAGTTAACATGTACCCAAACTATTAAAGGTTACTGTTAAAGGTTAGTGAACAACGTCAAAGCACTTTCCGGGAGCCAAAGAGTGGCTTTTTTCTTCGATTTCATCGCACGGAAGGGCAATTTTCAGGGTGTGCCGATCAACCGCATAAACTCGAATTCGTCTACCAGAATAGAACTAAGTTAACATGTACCCAAACTATATGTGCGTACAATATAAAGGTTAGTGAACAACGTCAAAGAATTTTTCGGGAGCCGAAAAGTGGCTTTTCCGTGCGATTTCATTGCACCCTCTTTTCCGTTTTTTCGGGTGGGGGGGGGGCCGCAGCGGCCAGATGCACCATTTTTGAGGTCTGATATTGCCCAATCCGTTGCTAGGGAGGTCAGAACTATGTCTCTGCAAACTTTCAAGCGTGCCGGAGTAGTGGCGCCAAAAGTGCAGCTAGCTCTTAGACTATAAAGTCTTTACTTATTTTGAGGATCTTGCTAGAATAAGTCACACCTGGAAAGATTTTAGTCACATTATTCCATATGTATGTACCATGAACCTTCAAAACTTTATTCATCCATGGAAAATGAGATTTCTTTCCATCTTCCTTAGGCAAATTAGAGAAATTAGTTGCCTTTCTTCAGAGAACTATAAGTACTTCGAAGTATTTTTATCCATTAATTTGGTGGCTCCAGTTTGTTTTGAAAACTCTAAATTCAGGAAAATATTCCTATGCGGCATACATCAGTCATCTTTCAACTTTATATATAATCTTTTTATACTGTACAATTCAAAATGCAGTTATTCATAAATGCAAATGAAAAGACAAGGTTATGATAGGTCTCTTATCAGATTTTTTATGAAGTGTGTGATTGGAACATTTCACAGAATCCGGATGCAGCAGTTATTTCAAAACTTTTTAAAATTTCTTCCTGCAGTGAAGTAGCACAATTTTTTTTCTCATGTTTTTGCTGGCTTTAAAATGTGACTAAAAGAGTTTTTATAGGGTAAAACTACTTCTATGCTGGGCTAACTACTCAAAATTAATAAGTGCTTTCTTGGAATACAGAGTACAAAATTGACGGTTTACGTTTGAAAGTTCATCACTTGCAGTATTTCAGTGAATAAGATCACAAGATAGTTATGAGAAATAAAATTGCATCAATTCAAGATCTAGAATAGACAGCTTGTGTCAATACTGCACTCCAAATCAGGTATACATCAGCATTAGATAAGAAAACCTACTCATAACTCTCCACCAATATTGTTTAAAAATATTGGAGGAACTTATCCCTAAGAAGCACAAACCTTCGAATCAGTTTGTAATCTGTTGACGAGCAGTTCGTCAGGCAGAACGTTTCAGAATACCCTGACTTTTGAAGAATTTTGGTGAGAAAAGTTACTGACTTTTTCCGATTTCTTCAATGCTTATGGCATCAAATTGCTTTGGTAGTGCAAAGTTTACACTCCGCCGATACAAAGCATGCATGCAATTGGAGCCATTCGATAGCTGTTTAATAGTTTTGATGAAACAGAAGAATTGAGGGTTCGATGGCTGGAATGTCTTTTCATGGTTGAGTAAAATTGACTGACTTTTTAGCGAACCCATAAATACTGACATAGACCTTAGAGGATCAACAGCAGTTAAAATTCCAAATTTCTGTTGAATTAGGATGTTTAGTTGGAGTTGAAGTTAGGACAGGAAAACATACCATGACAAGCATACACTGATTTTCCTTGTGGGCCCCGCAACAACCAAGGAATCCAGTGAGAAATAGAAGTGTTCCAACTACTAATAACAGGCTGATACCTGTGTAGTAATCACTCGAGTCTTGAGTCATACCCACATTGAATATCGGATCAGTTAGCATCCAAACCGCAAGCCCGATGAGAAGTAAGCCTAGAACCTGGACAAAAAAAAAAATAATATAATAAATAGGAATCATTAGTTTTTATCATGAATTAACAAGTCAAAGCATGCAGCTTTGTCTCTGTTTGATGCTTCGGAGAAGATGGATCGGAACGATACCCTCCAGATTTGACTTCCCTGTCTGAACTCGATGAAATCTTCATGAGTATCAAAGGCTGAGGCCCATCTGATAAGTAAAATACTACACTGAGCACCATTGTCAAACTGTATTTCTAGATCAGAGGGTACACCTTTGCAATGGCTTCCATTCCTTAAGAATACATATAGTTTCCTTTCTGAAATGGTAATTTGTGTAAACAGAGGGAGCTTTCCTAAGAGTGTTTAGTTCCGAAATTCATAATCATTACTAATTTAGTGCCACGATTCACCATTTTACTTCACGCTTTCCCCTCTACATGGTCTTGCGATGGGACTCTTTCAACCAATAGATATGGGTCAGTTACGCTGGTCACAGAATCGTGTTTCGGTGTTTGATTCTTGTAGATTAGTTAAACATAATAAGATCTATCCAACCAGCAACTTCTTACGTTCAATATTAACTGAGATACCACGCTTCGAAAAAACGGGCTGTTGGATGTCATTTACTGTGGTAGTGACACCCTTGGTTTCTTCCTCTTTCTTTTGATCAGTGATTATGAGGGCACAACGCGAAACTTCAACAACAGATCTTATTATTTTCCGTTAATCTACAACAATGATCAAGCATCAAAACACGATTTTGTGACCAGCGCAACTGACCCATTTGCGATTTAAGTATTTATAATCTAAATAAATTAATTCCATAAGCCCGTTCGTGATTTCAAAATAACTTATATATTGAACATATGGTGACAAATTACACCTTCAATGGGATCCAGGGGCTCTCCTGGGCCAGGCGTGACAGCTCGCTATCACGGCTAGTTTAAGAATAAACGTAACTTGTTCAGCCGCATATCTACTGACGAGCCATGTCAAGATTTTTTAGTTTTAACTGATAAGTAAAGCCGATTATTTTTTACATTACAGAACTGTTGAATCCTAATTCACTACTTTTTCCGTTGAGTCTTGAAGGAGAATACCATGTTTGAATCATAGTATTCTCTGAATCACTATGTATGACATCGCTAATACTTGAGAGGGGTATTTGCCACTTAGCAAGCAACTCTCTTTGCCTATATTTGTATAATTTTTGGGATCAATTTGGAAGAGCAGCAAAAAAGCGGCTCAATAGTTTCGTAAAAGAAAATTTTGGTTGCCTTTCTTTTTTTCTTCCTTGTTTGCCACGGAAATCCCCAAGGAAATAATTCCCGCATTAGGTTAAAGTTCCATTCCCCCCTAAGATCCTAGTTACCAATCAGCCGCAAGTAATGCTCAGGTAAGGTACTCAGGGTATCTGTCTGGGAATCGGACCTCCTGATCATAGGATCAGCGCTACAAACGATACACTATAGAATGCCGACCTTGATCAAGGCATAGATGAGATATGATTTCCCGTTTTGAGATATCAGATTTTTTTTCTTTTTACATGCTTACATACCTTTCATCAATGCTGTATTATTCGCAAAGCATGTTTTTCTTCATGAACGATTACAATTACGATATTACTAGAGTACCTACAAAGGATTTTCAGAATTGATTTATCGGAAAAATTCTGCGACATCTAAATATGACTTAAATCATCCACGGTAATTTGAATGAAGGTAAAACCACGGAATGAAATTATGCTATTTACGATTAAACGTGACTAATAATGATAAAACTAGCCAAAGATTCACTTACATAATTTCACTTGTAATGGATTCAAAAAATTCTTTTATTACAAAGTTCATCTAGAAACATGGAAAATAATTCATCTACATTATTTATTTGCAGAATGGTATTACTTGTGAAATAGATAATTTCCATATCGAGCATAACAAAGAAGACAAGAAACTACAAATTGTAATGAAAGGAGAGATGAATTTTTCACACCAAGAAGAACTGGATATAACGGTTGAGAGTGGAGACCTTTGTCTCTATCGAAACTGTTGTCGACCAAAAAAAAAACCTGACTATATAACAGGAAATAATGAATTTATTTTTCTTATGGTTTTTATGTAAATTCTGATAATATTGTAAGCTCTTATGTTTTAAAAAGCAGTTAAACAGAGATCGAAATCCAATCATTTAGCCATACTAGAATGTCTACCTTTAATCTGGCGTACTTCCATTTCTTCATCAGAAAGCTAGTACAGCTGGTGCTGCTCCTTCTTAAGAACAGCACATATCTTCTTATTTAGAGACTTAGAACAACTGTTAGTCATCTACATTTGATAGTTGCCATTCATAGATCAAATTTTGATATATACATTTTTTTTTCGATTTCCATCTATATGCATTTCTGGTTATGAAACTGATGACAGCCAATTTTTCCAGTTTCACGGCAACCATTTTTTATCGTATTAGTCTCTCATATTTTTATGAAACCAAAGAGCAATAGCTTTTACGGACTTTAATCAACATTCTGGATGTTGACGCAGCGTTGGCTGTGGTTCTCTCACTGTGACTGGTTAGACTTTGTACAAACTCATCCCTTTTGTATTGGACTAAAGAGTTGAAATTAACTTGATTCGAAAAATTAATGAAAATAAGTTTCTCTTTTTGAGTGGCACAATTTTATCAGACTATTAGATATCTGTAAAATTGTTCTTATTAATTTCAAAATTACAGGATTTAGTCAACCTATAATTTCCATTACAGCAGGAGTAAAAAATAACTGCCATTCATTTCAGTGAGAAACCCTCTTTATTTACTTTATTATACTTTATTATTACTCTTTATTTTACTGTCTCAACCCAGATGGGTAATATGAATATGTTTCCTTCAATATTATTCTTTTAAAAAATTATCACCACTTGCTAATAGCAAGTTCAACAATTGTCTTGGTTTTTTTGCGGCATGCTTTGTATTCATGATATTTACAAAATAGCGTAAATCATTGAAAATTGTGCAAAAAATTGTTTAGATTTATAATGAATTTTATCTTATTTGCAGACTCAACAAAATAAATTTCATATTAAAAACTGTAAAAATTTCATAGTAACAAATGTCTTAAAAATAGTTTTGTCCAATACTTCCAAATTCTGACGATACATACGGTTATTTATTCGTATTAATAACAGGGTTGAAAAGTACAACATGTTACTCAGTTATTAAATCATTGCTTCACTCCTTACTAATATTGAACTTTACTTTAAGAGTCATTTTTCATTAAATTTTGTATTCCTTTTTATGCGCTTATGAATCCGATCTCGTAATTATAGTGTTAAAATTTCTTTTTTTATTTTGTCAGCTTTATGCTTTTTTTTTGTTTTTTTTTTTAAAGCAAAATTACATGAAAAGAAACGTTAACCCTTAAACGAAACTTCTGAATTGGTTGTGTTGTTGGAAAAAAACGTTGTCAGAAATTATTTATCTAAATAATAAAATTATTTGTTCCAATTTATCAAAACTTGTATTTTTTTTAAAATAAAAAAACACTAAATCCTAAATTTTCTATTAATACAAACAGATAGAATACAACTAAACTCATGAATATTTTTATCAAACCTTAAAGGACAGTTTCCCAATGTAAGGTGGCACACATCATTCTCTTTTCTTTCTTCTAATGTAGAGTACCTGTATAGGGAGAGTACCGACAGATCGGTTCATGGAGGGCTTAGGGCCCAAAGGTGCAGCCACCCTTCTAACCAACTTCTAACGCACAAAATTTCACTGCCAGTCTGCAGATTCCAATTCTAACCAAGATGGCCAAGAATGTACAGAAATGAGCGTTCTTCCGCGAAATTGAGTAAATTCATGCAAAAACTGAGTCAAACACGTTCTTAATAAAGGACGATTCGTCACAATAGTATCAGTAAATCGCTCTGGATAATTGAGATTCATAGGTTGGCTGCCCTTTTGGGCCCTAACTTTATTCGCGGAGGCATCGGTGAAGGCCTGATGGATTTTCGGAGTTTCAGATCTGTCTGTACTCTCCCTATACAGGTACTCTATTCTAATGCAATAATATTCAAAAATCTAACTTTGACAGTAACAAGAAACCTTTAAATGTGCACTAACTTTTCTTACCTGCTTCATGCTTTGAAAAACAAAAAAAAAACATCATCATAGGTTTCTATAACTTTCTAAATATATAAGTATTATTTTACAATATTTCAAAAAATTCTTCTTCCTTTGCAATAACAATATCCAACGATCAAAACAAGTCTCATGATATCAGAATCGGCAGAGCATTCATCAGAGACATAAATAGCTCGGAAGTGTTTGACAGAATGAGGTCAAGGTGTAGCATAAGCCCTTGGTGAGGGGACCTCCTAGGTGATGGAGGTGCAATAATATTAAGTACTTTTTCCAGGGTGGATCTGCACCCACGATAGGCCGATTTAGAGCATTGCCAAAAATTAAAGGTGTATATGCCACAGCAGACCCTGGCTTAGTAGTATGCACGGTATGAACATGCACATTCCTGCAGTTTCCGTATTGATCCGCTGGGGACAACAAATTTCAGACTCTTGCCATAAAATAAAGAGACCAGTCAAGAGAAGCAGAAACTCCTAAAGTTCTGAAGAGCCAATGCAAACATTTTTCTTTGCTCGACGGTGACAAACTCAATGTTGCCCAGTGCTGCTAGAACAATGCAGCTATTATACAGGTGAGAGTAGCCACACTGCCCAAAATGTATTTCATCAACATGATGCAACTGTAAACGGTCCTGACTGACTCATTTCACAGCTGAGACCACATCGTTGTCATCTGGGTGTCAACAGACTTGGAGAAAAAAATTCCCTGGCTTTTCCAGGTTTTCCCTAACCAAAATGATCAAAATTCTCTGACTTGAACAATTTTTTTACGTTAATTTCACTGTAAATGATAAGAAGAAGTGAACCTCTTTTTGTCCTGTATTACTTGATCATTCAATCATCTGAAATTGCAATTCCTCATTGAAACTTATGATCTGATGACTATTCTGAACACTCAGAATAATGAGTTTAACTCACTCAGTGAGTTATTTGCCTCCTGTGGTGTAATGGTTGTAGTGCTGGCCCTCCGCCCACGAGGTCCTGGGTTTCCTTCTCGGCCAGGTGACCTGATTTGGATGGTCTCTGACGATGATTTCCTGGTGCTTGGGTATTAAGCGTGGGATTAGCCGATTGGCTATTTGAAACATGGTAAAAAAAAAAACTGAGATGGTTAACCCCTGAACCGGATTGAGGCTCACAATCAATTCGATTTTATGGGCAGCCCTGATCTTTACAAACCAAAAAATAAGAGCTGAACCATAAGCTTAACAGGTGGGCGGAACTTACAACTGACTACCAAGTTCTCCACCAACCAATGAGAGGCACTTTTATTTGGTCCTCTGGTTAAGTTTAACCAACTAAGGACCAGGTGACAATTTGTTTAAATATTTATGATCCGGCATCCGGTAATTTTTGGCACCTTCAATTTTGTCAATGATGTGGGTGGGTGCACCCACTGACACAAATTACTACTTACACAGCAGGACAGATAAAGTTACTTGAGCAATGTGATGGGGGAAATTTGGCTCATGGTAAAATGGCCCGTATTTATACAGGGTGATCCAAAAGTCCCTTCCACCTCCTCTAACTTTTTACCTAATTGAGGTAAAGATTTGAAACTTGGGGGATATTCCTAGGTCAAAGGGAGCTACTTTTTGGCCCCCCTAAAATTTTCAGGAGGGCCCCCCTTGGGGGGCAACGGCCCCCAACTTTTAATTTTCAAACGGGAAGACTCCGTTTGTGGTAGCTCGTTCGAAAGAGCATAAATAAAGAAAACTTTTCGCGCAAACCCGAAGTCAATACCCCAAACCGTTTCAAAATGGCGGCCGGTTAAAGTTCAAAATGGCCGAAAATTCACACCGGTTATTTGTCGATGGATTAAAATCGGTATGTAGGCGTATTTTGACATGAGAAAAACGAATTTGACGTTAGATTTTCAAAAAAACCAAAACATCCAAAACGGCCGCCGGTTAAAGTTCAAAATTACCAAAAATTGATTTTTTTGGAAATCTAAGTTCAAATTTGTTTATCTTATGCCTAAATATTCTCAAATTCCAAGTTTTAGGCAAATCCATCGACAAATAACCGGTGTGAATTTTCGGCCATTTTGAACTTTAACCGGCCGCAATTTTGAAACGGTTTGAGATATTGACTTCGGGTTTGCGCGAAAAGTTTTCTTTTTTTATGCTCTTTCGAACGAGCTATCACAAACGGGGTCTTCCTATTTGAAAATTAAAAGTTGGGGGCCGTTGCTCCCCAAGGGGGGCCCTCCTGAAAATTTTAGGGGGACCAAAAAGTAGCTCCTTTTGACCTAGGAATATCCCCCAAGTTTCGAATCTTTACCTCAATTAGGTAAAAAGTCAGAGGGGGTGGAAGGGACTTTTGGATCACCCTGTATATGTACCACTATCAGCAACGGAAATATTCCCGTTGTGCCCGACTTAGGTATGTGAAACGTGACTGCGGTTGGGGGGGGGGGGGGGACTTTCGCCGGCGCAGTGGGTGCAGGGGCCCTCCTCCAAAAATTTTTAAAATTTAAACTGCCCAGTGAAGCAAAACGAGCCCTGTACAACTACAAAATTTTCAAAAATCAAGACCTTACTTAATTTTCACACTTTTGCAGCGTATTTTTGCATGATTTTACTTTGTCATCTATGCCACCAGAACTGAGGCTTATGCTATGCAATGGCTGCAATAATTGGCGCCCTTTTGTCCAATGAATCATGCATGCTCTCACACTGGAATTTCATGCTGCTGTTGGTGGCAATTTTGTGGTCTCTGTTCCGACCCCCCTCCTTAGAACTCGGAATTTGCTGCTGGGGGCAGCTGCCCCCTCTACCCTATATGGGAATCCAGGCCTGATGGGGGAACATAAACCAAAGCCAAAGAACAGAACTAAGATGGACATCAGATGCCGGTCTAGGCCTCAACAACAACTAGAACAACAACATCATGTAAACATTGATGACGTAGGAAGGTACAATATGACAGAATAACGACCAGCTTTCCTTTCTTCCCTCTACTGCGCAAACGCAAGATGACAATTTCTTCTTCACTTGCTAACGAAACAGGAACACACACAGTTACCCCAAGTTTTAGGCTCACTGTACCGCGAAAGCTACAGCGACTGCTTTGCAAAACGTACGTTCACTGCTACAAAACGGACTCCTGAGAAAAAATGTTCAATCTTTTTCATACAATTCCCTGACTTTTCCCCAACCTTATGAAATTTCCTGACTATTCCCAATTTTCCAGACCTGTAGACACCCTGGTCCTGAAGTCTGCTCTAACTTTCCTTTCTGTTGACATGCATTTGGATCGTATTCAGCAAAGAGGCACCAGCGCTATTGCAGTGTTTTCAAAATTGTGTCGATAACTTCTTCTTTTCTGTATGTTGGAGTTTTTTTTTCTTTTTAATTTTGCAAATAAGCTTTAAGAATTCAGCATAGAGCTGAAACATCTCATTTTTATCGCACAAGGGCCCAAAAAAAACTCCAACATACTTACTGTCTTACGACCTGTGCGTCCACCACAATCAGTGTGTGTTCCTCTTTCCTCTTGAAAATACTCTGTGCAAGTACGATGCTAAAATTTACACGATTATTCTCCTTTAATATGGACAATTTTTTGATGGGAAGCAAAACAAATTTGCTATTCCGGGGTTTTTCTTTTCAAATTATAGAGAAGTAACAATATTACTACACTGTAGTTGCGCTGGTTCCTTTTTGCTGAAAGCGATCCAGTTTACTGATGAACATGTACTGGGTTCAGGGTAGTAGCTCTCATAAGGACTTAGCAGGAAAACTACTGGTAAAACAGATCAGAGATAGAAGAGGACCTTACCCAAAACAGGAGGTTCATAAGGAACACCAAAAATTTCATGATGGCATAACATCCTGTTAAGCCCATTTTGAAGCAACTTGAGAACGCCCAGTTGCAGAAATGTTTGGATTCAGAGGATTGATATGATACTGCGAAGATACGTTGAATATCTACGAACGCAAACGTAACTCGTTGGACATACACTCATGCACATCACCAGGCAGACACAGGACAGAATAAACAATAAACATGATTACACATTACACTACACATACGCCCGGACATGAGAGTTATTCTATGATGAGAGTCCGTCGGAGTCCACATCTCGATTTTGGCTGCCATCTTGAAGATGTGTGACGTGCAGAGGGTACGGGCTTTTACCGCGCGATTTGAAATGTACCNGTCTTCGGTTGAATTTCCTCGATTTTTTTAAAGTTTTTTTCTATTATAGTAACATTTTAGGTTTAAAATATTCTATTAGAATGTCGAGCGCGTTACAGAGCACTATATCGTACATAATTCAGCTCGGATTTATTCTCAGATTCGTAATAAACGGGGTCCTGTAGTACGGAGTCGTAACGGTTAGGGCTTTTACCGCGCGATTTGAAATGTACCCGAAGTGTACCCGATGCCGCGGCCGGCGCGCGGCTCATACAATTTCCAAACGGAATTATGAGAGATCGTATTCTGCGTTAATTTTTACTGAGAATTTGCAAGGAAGTCACAATCATTCTTATGTTTAATATTTCTGGGTGAAATTATTGTTTAAAGAATGTACCCGATGGGCTCGTTTAGAGTACCTTTATAGACAGAGTATGGCCATTTCTGTTCCGGTTTTTCATTGGTCGCGAGCGAATAGGCTGACACGATGCTCTTAGGGCCGTAAATAAACAAACAAGATGGCCGTTATCAGCAAGTAAGATTGAGGTTATGCACATCTTACATCCTCCTGTGATTAGAGCAAAGACATAAAGACGGAGTGCTCGTATCTAAAAGCACGGGGAAAAAGTGAAGCTAGGTTCGGCGCTGCGCGTTTGTGTGAGTGTGTAAATGAGCACGGGAATCCATGGCGGCAAACGGAAATTTGATTTGAACTTGTCCTCTTGATTTTTCCTTATTTCTTCTTCGAAACGTGTTTTAAATGCTTAAAACGATTATATTAAGAAAGTTCGGTCTGCGTCCTAATATATTACACCTACTTTTGCTC